ATCCTAGGACAGGCTGCTTCACTTCGTCATCAGTGCTGAAATGCTGACCTCTGAGGAATTCTTTTAGGGGTCCAAACAAGTGGAAATCACTCAGAACGAGGTCCGGGCTGTAAGGGGGATGTGGTAGTACCTCCCAGCTGAGTTGCTGTAATGTGCACATAGTGTGGTGAGCAGTATGAGCTCATGCAATGTCCTGGAGAAACAGGACACCCTTGCCTTCCCTATCAAAGTGCTCCCTTAACACAGTGCAGACTTCAACTCTCCTGGTCAAAAGCTTAAAGCTGTCGTGGTACCCAGTGTGCGTTAACTTTTCATAAATGCAAATATTTGTGAATTATTTTGTTCTCTGCTCCCACAGAAAGATTAGTCTCTTATGCAATTTCATGACAGGTTATGTGTTGATTATGCAGGATCAGGCTTCAACATGCTGAATGTCCACAGGAATGACTGCCTTGTGCTGGGAACCACCACGTCCATCATCACTGACAGACGTACGTCCATCTTTGAAACTTTTACACCATTAAAATGTCTTTCTGCGGTTGAGCGTCTCATCACCATACTGTGCTTGAAGTATTTTGTTGATATCCATGGATTTTATATCTTCGTTCATAAGAAACTTCATCACCACACACTGTTCCATGCACACACTATCACTGTTGTCTGCTATCTTGATTAACGATCTCTGAACTGGCCTGTGATATGTGCGCCGCCTATCAGTAATAGGACACACTTGCCACTTACTACTGCATGTAGTACTGCCTCACTAACATTGACTTGAAGAAGTTTGCAGTCTCAGAAGAAGTCCCCCTTAGATTGTGAGGGGCAACTGGAACATCTGGTAGAATCCAAAGAAAACACAGGGAGAACTTACAAACTCCTTGACAATAATGTACCTTCAAAAAAGAACCTAATTCAAGACCTCAACCAAGGTACAATACTAACCAGTTAGAAATGTATGCACTATCTATCTATCTATCTATCTATCTATCTATCTATCTATCTATCTATCTATCTATCTATCCTTCTTATTATAAAGTAGATCTAAAGACATGTTTCGTGCAAACACAGCAGTCCATTTATTTAAATGGGCTGTTGTGCCTCTTGAAAAAGCAGGGAAAAGGTCCCTGCACCAGGGTGTGGGGGTTAATTGCACTCCCACACACCTCCTGAACGTCAGAGTTTTTCTGTGTGGATGGTCAAGGCTGTGGGAACAGTTGTGGTCCTGCAGGGGTAAGGACTGGCACAGGTGTGAACCTAGCCTAAGGAAGTAGGTAAACCCCTGTCCATTTTTTTGCTTTCTGTGTCCCATTGGGGAAATTTCCCATTACTTCCTGTCCGATAGACAAAGGAAACGAGAGGAATTACCTCCAAATGACGGTGTACTTGGTTGTCATCGGAACTAGTGTCTCCATTGGAAGATTTATCCTCTACTCCTGTTCTAGTAAGAACCCAAAATTTGGGATTTTCTTTTATTTTCTAAACAGGAAAAATAGAGGGGTGAATCTCCCTAATGGGGTCACAGACAGCAATAAAAACCTGACAAGAGTTCTAATCTCTCTCAACTCTGTCCAGCACTAAGAAAAAAAAGTTTTGTATTTTGTTATATTTTAAGGAAAAAACAATTTGCCCATTAAAATATTGTTCAGAGTATTTTGCAGTGGCACAATATACCTGACTGTAGTAATACAAACTACTACAGTAGGTTATTGGTTTGCTGGTTTGTCATTCCATTCTAGTTCAATGCTATGTTATAAAATGGTTGTAAAACAGTAAATCCCCCCTGCCTTCCATTACCTTCATTATATTTTTTACCATGCAATTAAAACAATTAAGAATGCAAATGGAATTTTAAATGGCGACTTAAGTACTTAAAGCTTATTTAAACACACAAATTGGCAATTACAGAATACATAATACTGAATGGTTTAATTTACTGGGCTCTCGCTATATGGGAACTCCTGAAACGACTCAACACATTTAAAAATGCTGTACTGCCAAAGTTTTTTTTTGCCAGGACATCTATGTGATCGTAGGCCAGCAACTAGCAGACTTAATAAAAGTTTAATATTTGTAGTTTAGCTGTACTCAGGAAACGAGTGATATCCAAACAGAGGTTCTGTTGGGTGCCAGTGCATTTGCACTAAAATGTATTTCTAAGCAAAATAAAAATATTTGTGAAATACAAGCACATTTTCCCATATTTTGTTTCTTAAAAAACACTGTGAGTGCAGAAACATACCTGTTGATCCTCTCAGAAATCCAGTGTACTCCTGTAGTGAAATCCCAAACAGCATTGTCAGTCCTGCCTGAGTTCTCTCCTGCTAGATTACAGAACACATCTCTCAGACTGAGAAAATAGGGTGTTCTGTAGTACAGCAGAGAGCAGCTGGGGGTCTAGGGTTTACAAGACAGAGCAGTAGGGGCAGTGTTGTCAGATCACTTCGGGAAGCTAGGAGATCACTAAATTTGTGTCAGGATCAGCAGATATTTTCTGTATGTATATAGTGCAGTGCTAATTTATATGATATTAAAATTAAATCATCAAAATCGAATAAAACACTAGTGTAAATCAAATACAATATCTCTCAGTGAGACATAAGTGCAAAATTCACAACATATAACTCAGTGAAGCAATGAACAAATTATATCCATCAAGTATATGTCAATATGACAAACGAACAGTCCATTAGGAGAACAAACAATGTGTCAGCGGCACTAAAATACACAGCAGCAATGTGTTCAATTCCAAACAGGGGCTATAGGATCCAGTGAAACAATCCACCACCGCTATGCACTCACCAGAAAGCTAGTGGTATAGTAGCAGTAATCGCAGATCCTTCAGAAGAGATGCTTAGAATCTTTAGCCAAACGAACGTATCCAGAAAGCTACTGGTAGCAGTAATTGCTGATTACTCAGATGAAATGCTTAGATTAGCCAAAATGACTTATCCTATGAAGAAAGCTCACCAAACGGCCCAGAAAACGATATATAGTGTAGTGCTTTTATTAAAATAGGTATAAAACATTCCACGTGTAAAGATGAACAGACATGGGTGAATTCACATACCAAGATGGCCACAGCTCCTAGTCACGGACACAGTGGCGACGTCAGCATGTAGGCTCCTCCCAATGAGTTTTGTGTGCATGCACATCCTCAGGGGTATGCCCAAATTCTGTACTTGCAATTTTTTACTTATCTTGCTCAGACAAGGTTGTCATAGCTTAAGAAATCTGGGGGGGGGGGCAGGCTATACCTGTATTGATTATCCTGTATTTTAGAACTTCTGAGTTCACTTGATGATAAACTTATTGTGGGGGAACAGAATTTTTTCCTGTTAGAAGTATAGTTTGTCTGGCTTGAAAGGTACGAAGAACAAAGTCTTTTAAAATGCCCAGGAGACAAACTTAGGAACATAGAAAACTTCAGGGGTTCTCGAAGCCTAAAGGCCGAAATGGATTTCCAGTACAGTGAACAAATGATTCCAGAAGATAGTGATTTGTGAACAGGTACAGAGCATATGCAACATCTGCTGGAGCAACACCACGCCTGGCATAACAAGCATGAATCTAAAGACCCGTTCAGAGTAACGTGGCTGGGGTATAATATAGGTTATGGATTAATTTGAATTGTGTTAGCTTATCCATGGTACTGATTATATCATGAAACTAAATATCCAGAACTTCGCTCCATCCATCCTCCATAAGAGCAAGTATATACTAGAGTCTCAAGATCTCAAATGGATTAGATCCTTTGGCTTGCAGACATTTATAAAATGTATAAAGGTGAGTTTGGTGTGGCCAGAGCAGTATAGTAAGTGTTACAGTACTCAACATATAGTTAACGTAAAAGTATATTAACATTATTGCTGGGAGGGATAATAAAGAGCATACTGACCATTCGGGACAGTCTGCTTTTCAGTCAGTTGTCTTGTGAAAGCCGTGTCCTGGGCTTTGTCCCAAGGTTAGGGCCCTGTCAGTATGGTGTTGTATATTTTTTCCTTCTGTTCACTCAACTCCTGCAGCTCAATGTGAAGTCTCATCTCAATGAACTACCCTTCACACATTGTCCCTGCACGCTGGGATACCTCCTCCCTTCTTCGCCACCCTGCTCACATTATCCCAACACAAAGACAAGTACAGACCTCACCCCTGTCCCCACACACATTGTCCCCGCAGCTCAACACACACTGTATCTGAGAGACTGCACTCCTGGGCTCAGAATGCTTTTAATTGTGGGATTAGGGGAACTCTGCTTGGCTGATGCCAGTCATCCCCACTTCTGCCCACTCCTCCTCTTGACTTTGATATAGAACTGAGTCCAGGGGTAACAGCTCTGGTGGTACAGGGGGCACTAGTGCTGAGCGTAGCTGAAGTTTAGAGAGGTCACAGCTGGGGATACCAGGGATGTAGAAGGGTTATGGTACTTGGGGTATGAAGAGAGCATAGAGTAATAGTGCTGGGGGTATAGTGGAATGTAGAAGGGATAACAGCCCTGAGGGTTATCTGAGATATAAAGAGGACACATAACTGGTGGTGTTTGAGGTATAGAGCTGGGGTGTAGAAGAGTTACAGTGCTAGGGGTATCTGGTGTTTCGAAGGGGTAACAGTGCTGTGGGGGTATCTGGGGTTTAGAGGGGGGTACTGGGATGTAGAGTTAGTAATAGTAATGGAGGGAAATCTGGGATGTAGTCTGAGAAGGTGTCTGAGATGTAGAGGGGTCAGCATAATGCAGCTATCTGGGATGTAGAAGGCTATCAGTGCTGGGCGTACCTAGGTTATAAAGAAGATAACGATACTGTGCATACCTGCAGTGTATAAGGTATCAGTGCTGGTAGTATGGTTGGGTGTAAAGGCAAAGCCTGTGATAGAAAGGTACAGGTAATACCTTGTCTGAACCCAGGGGCGGACTGGCAACTCATGGGGCCCCCGGGCAATAGGGGATCATGGGGCCCCTATGTCCTTGCCCACACTCAAAGCACACCCAAAAAAGCCTATAAAAGGTACCAGGGGCATTTCATGGGGCCCCCTACTGACCCCGGGCCCTCGGGCAGTGCCCGAGTGCTCGAATGGTCAGTCCACCACTGTCTGAACCTGAGCAAGCACTAATACAGCAGGTATATGATATGCACAGGGCAGTTTTGTTACTCTGTTTTAATGTACCGGTATGTAGTGTTTTTCCATTGTTTCTATACAGTGCAGAATGGTTGCTAACATAGTTGAACAGGTTGTAAAGGCTCAAGGTTTTTTTACCTTCATGCATTCTATGAACGGGTGTGTATGTTAAGTTAACAACACCCTGAAAGCGGTCCGCAAAACACGGTGCGATGTGCAGAATCGGATCGCATAGGTGTGAATACCCATGGGATCCGATTTTAATGCAGACCCAAAAAAGGGTCCTGCACCTTTTTTGGTGTGGGTGTGGTGCGAATAGGGTCATTCAAAATGTATGGCTCCAATTGCACCGCACGCAAATCGCGTGTGATTTGCACAGGAATGCGGTTCCTGTGCGAATCACATGCGATATACCGCACCACATATATGTGAACCCAGGATGAATGACTCATTCTCTGCATGCAGCAGATGGAATATGGGTAAATGTTTCTGTTGGGAGCATCAGCATTGCAAGGACACTCAGAAAAATATATACTATGCTTTCAATAGAAACAATTTGCTTTTTACTTCTGAGTCACAGAAAACTTTTCTTATTTTCATTGCAATAAGACATTTTTAGTTTCAGTTTAGTACTTCTTTCTTCAAAGTATATGATATGTTGGCAAAATAATTTTATGCATGAATCAGAAAATTTAGCCTTAAAGTGGTTGTAAACCTCTAACAGGAAAAATGAACACTGAGCATATCCTTCTACAGTGTGCACTAGCCTCAATCCAAAGCACAGAGTGTCCTCCTTCTCTCTGCTATCTCTTCCCTCTGCTATTTGCAATCACTGATAATAGTCCAAGCAGACTCCACAGGATAACTGGTGATGGCCTCTGTTCGTCCCCCTCTTCTACTGTCCCCAGTCCATCTGCTGACAGTACAGACCTCTAGGAGTCACTCTGCACATGCTCAATTTAGTGTATATTGCTAGAGAGTGTTTTTTTTTTTGAGAGGGTGCATGTGATAAGCACAGGACCAATAAGCACTGTCCAGACAGAGGGTCAGGGGTCATGCAGCCTCATAGGACAGTCAGAGCAGGAGTGGATCAACCTCCACAAATCAAACCTGGGCAAATTTCCCCACCCTAATCAAGATTGGTAAAAAAAAAAAAAAAATCATATATCCTAATGCACCCTAATTTTTTGTTTGTATGAGTGGCCATGAGAACAGTGGCCAACTACCACTCATTACACATATGGCTTAGCTCTAGTTAACGTGTTACTAAACCCAGGACACTGCATTCACTATATCACTATATTCAGTACACAGAACATGGAAATGCAATTATTTTAGTAAATATAAATTGCTAGATACCTTCTCATCAGCAATTAGAGCACTGGTTAAAGCTTGTATGAGGAGTTTTCTTTCTGCTCCAGGAGGATGCAAAACCCTTGACCTCTGTCTGAACAGTGTTGATTGGCCCTGTGCTGATCACATGCACTCTCCCAAGAAAAAAAAAAAAAAAAACACTCTGAGCATGTGCAGAAGCAATACACACATTTGAACAAGAAGCTGAGCATGTGCAGATTAAGTGCTACAGGTTCAGTCTATCTTATGGGGTTGAAATGCAGGGTCAGGAGTCTTGCAGCCTCATAGGATAGTCAGAGCAGAATGAAAACTCCTCCAACAACCTTTAACCAGTGCTCAGCTGGACGCTGATAGAAGTCACAAGACTGCTATAAACTGCTGATGAGAAAAGGTATTGAGCAGTTTATATTTACTAAAATAATTGCGTTTCCATGTTATGTGTACTGTGGAAAATCGGATATAGTGAATGCAGGGTCCTGGGTTTAGTAACACTTTAAATTTGTGATTTGAGAACTTCAAACAGGATTCGATAAACCTCCACAAATCAAACCCGAGCAAATTCCCCCACCCCTAATCAAGATTAGTAAAAAAAAAAAAATTCATATATGCTAATGCACCTTCAGTTTTTGTTTGTATGAGTGTCCATGAGAACAGTGGCCAACTACCACTCATTACACATATGGCCTAGCTCTAGTTAAGTCCCTTTGAAATGCAATAAAAAACATGGTTGCAGGTAGTCCCTGTGAACTGTAGAGAAAACACAAATCAACCAAGAGGACCTACCTTGACTTACCTAATTATTTTCTGCAATGTTTGACGTTCTATAACATTCTGAAAATTAACATCGCACACCATCGTTATTGTTTTAGTCACATTTCTTGTACTGGAGACATTTGTGATTTTCCTGCTTTAAAGCATCCCACTGAGCAGCAGAGAAAATAAATTACCTGTAATCAGCTTGACAGTGGCTGTACCGGATTATAATCAAGACAGGTCTATAAATGTATTTGATTTGTCAGCAGAAGTAGAAGCAAATATTTGCAGGTGCCCCTAATGTTTGTTTGTAAATGTTTCATGTGCACATAGCAGTATGCAATCAGAATGCATTTGATGAATGAATACATTTTTCATTAGTTCTCATGATACATAATATGATTGGAGGTATGCCATCCACCATCAAGCCATGGCTTTTGTCTGAATTAAATTATTGTGACAGACACACTGTTAAGCTGGTACAGATGAATGAGTTCAAATGCATTTGTAAAAGCTAAGCCAAATTTCTTTTTCTTTAGAATTGACTGAACAATGCAGGGCTTGTATGATGCTGTCCACTTGTAAACCTTGTATAGTGGCCCGATCCCCACATGACCGATGGACCTTAAAGTATTTTAGTGGATATATGCTAGAAACATAACCGCTTCATCCATATGTATGTCCAATGATCCATTGTCCAAAGTCACTGGCAGCAAGCACTTGGCTCTGGGATAGACTTTAATAGTTCCTGGTATTGTACCTGTGCTGTTTGTCCTCATCTGCTTATCTTTGTTTTCTTGGTTTTTGTCTTGCAAGCCTACATCTGCTGCCTGCACATAGCTGCTGGAGATACTGTATATGCAGGCGTGTACTTTGATTGACTGGTTAATCCTTCATTAAAAGGCACAAGACTTTAGAGTCTGTTTGCCTTTAGTGACACTGAAGCCAAGGGTTAGACTAGGTTAAAGTGTTATTAAACCCAGGACCCTGCATTTACTATATTTGCTCTCCCACAGTACACAGAACATGGAAATGCAATTATTTTAGTAACTATAAACTGCTAAATACCTTTTTTCATCAGCAGTTAGAGCAGTTGTCAGGGAACGAGAAGATCGCCACAACGCATGAATCTGCACATGCGTAGTATTCCGACAAGACAGAGGCAGGCGGGCACTAGGACCCAGGCGCGCTGTCACCAATGACAGTGCTGGCAGGCACTAGGACCCAGGCGCGCCTGTCAGTGCCGGGGGGCTATTTAAACCAGCTCTTGCAATGCTCACATTGCCGTATGGTCTTATTCCTGTTCCTAGTACCTGAGATTGCCTTTGTTGCCGAACCTGCCTGACCCGGATTATCGTGACTCTCTCCTGCCCTGATCCCTGGCTTGTCTGACCATTCTTCTGCTTTCTCCTGTTTACCTGACCTCCTGTTGCTGAACCTGGCCTGTGACCCATTTATCCTTTTGCCTGCTGATCTGTACCGTCTGCCTCTGCTGTTGCCAACCTGGCCTGTCTGACTACGGTACACACTACCTCTTCACATCTGGCTCTCACTTGTTACCTACCACTGGCAAATCCACCTCTACCACAGCTAGTTGAACTTGGGGGTCGCGACCTGGTCTCAGGCTGCTTCAAGTCCATCCCCACCATCGGGGGCTCTGGTGAAACAGCAGACTGAGGCTTAGATTCTGCGCCCTGAAGGATTCTGGCCTTTGGGTCGCTAGAGGCTACCGCCAGTCGGTCCTTAACAGCAGTCTTGTGACTTCTATCAGTGTCCAGCAGAGAGCTGGTAGGAGGAGTTTTCATTCTGTTCTAGGAGGATGCAGTACCCCTGACCTCTGTCTGGTCCGTGCTGATTGGCAATGTGAATATCACATGCACTCTCCAAAGAAAAAAAAAAACCTCTCTAGCCATACACACCAAACTGAGCATGTGCAGAGCGAATCCGGATGATATGTCTTATCAGGAGATAAGAGGGGGACACTGGAAAAAGGGGAAGATCAGAGAAGACAGGATAAAACAGCGTTTTTGCACAATGCAGAGGATTAACCCCTTAGGTTCCACAGTGAGTATAAAAAGCATGCTTTATTGCATGTACACGCTGATTTTACTGTTGTGGGTTTAGTAACACTTTATGGTGGTAGTAAACCCAACAATAAAAATTTTATATATTGCAATTTACCAATTCTTACATGTTTTGACTGCTTTAGTTATCTTTTTTCCATTATTTTTATTTTAAGCCAGGGGTGTCCAAACTTTTTTCAAAGAGGGCCAGATTGGATGAAGTGAACATGGTGGAGGGCCGAACATTTTTCGAACATTCTTTGAACCATTACAATTAAATGCAAATAAATTATTTTATGCCAAGTTAATTGCAAATGACATACTTTTCATTTCATAACATTAAGATCAACTGACAGCTGAGTTTTCACAATGTATTGAAAATAAATTTTAAAAAAAACTTACCTGCACTAATGTGAAGGGTGAAAAAGGTAGCTGGAGCTGAAGTCTCTGCTCGGCAGCCGGGAGGGGAAGAGAAACACACTTCACGCTGGAAGCCCGGCCCTGACGTCACCGCCCTCTGTCACTCCCAGCGCGGCTCAGTCACGCATGCGCACTGCTCTCAAGCAGAAGACTGTCTGCCACAGAAGGGAGGGCCGTGCGACAGCCGCATTTTCGCAGACCAGGGAGAACGCGCCGCAGTCAGGCATGCGCACTGCCCTCTGCTCTCAAGCAGAAGACTGTCTGCCATAGAAGGGAGGGCTGTGGGAGGGCCACATTACACAGAGCAGGGAAGGCTGTTGGAGGGCCGTATTAAACCGACCCCCGGGCCGTAAATGGCCCGCGGGCCGGACTTTGGACATGCCTGTTTTAAGCCTTCTTCGGTGACTAGCTAGTCTCCCTTTTTGTCATAGTTGTATATTCAAACTTCCTCTTGGTGATCTTTATTTTCCAGTGATTTGGCCCAGTAACAAATTTATCTTGTTGATTTGTTCTTGGTCTAGTTTTTTTTTTTTTTTTCCCTTCAAGTAGTATGTTTTCCATCTGTTTTTGATGGTTATTTGGTTGGTGCTACAGTTTTGTTGGATGGCGTTATGATTTTCTTCAGGAAATCTGTCTAGCCTTAGTGGGGACTATACAAGGAGACTACTCTAAAACATCAGGTTTATCCACTGTCCTCCTCCTGGTTGTGACACATTTCTCTGTTTGGTATGGCCCTTTCTTTGCCTTGCCTTGGTATTAATTCCTTCAGATTCTTGTTAGATTGTCCCTACATCTGTTAGATCTATCAGTTTCCACCAATCAGTTTAACTGCTTTTTTTATATATATATATATATATATATATATAAATTTTTTTTTTTTTTTTTTTTTTTTAATTTCTGAGTTCTTGTGTCCCTTAATTAAAAAAAAAAAAAGCATTTTGTATTTACATCAACATAATTTAGGGACACAGATCTTGCCCTTCTGTGTTATTGGCCCTATGAATCTCATGCTCACAAAACTAAGGCATGCTGGATAGAGGTTGGATTATAGAGGGGGGGCTGGCTTCCAACATTTTTTTTTGTTTGACAATGTCCGAACCTTCTGTAGGTGACTGTGTAACTAGAATTTTTTTAGACTTCCTGAATTCCTGTGTCCCTCAATGAACTTTAAAAAAAAGTTTTTCCAGTAAGTAAAAGATTCTTATTTTGTAATAGAAATTACAGCATTTCACAATATTTTAGTGGATAGCTTTAGGGCTGTTGTACAATAGATAAAATGAACACAGCAGTAAGGCATCCAGTAATTCACAAGCAAATGGCAAGGTGTATATGTGCAGTAGATTGGTTCAACCTGTGCAGTACATTTCCACTACAAAAATCAACTACTCAACCTCTATCCTAGGTGGTCATTTGACAATGTTAGCTAGATCCGTGGATCTTGATTTTTTTTTTTTTGTCAGAGACCAAATACATTCTTATAGGCATATATGTCTCCTTTATTATTATTTGGATGATAGCTATACCACTAATAAAGAAAAAACAAAAACAAACATAAAACACAATAGACAGATTAGAGCCCCTTGTGTATTAAAAAATGCATATTTTTTTTACCATTTACATTTGACATTTACATAATGTCAATTTACCATTGACAGTAATGTCAATTAGGTACTCAGCAAATAATTCTTTCTAATATTCGCAAAGTAATATTGTCATTATTTAAAAACATCTCAAATTTTGATACTTAACATTCATACTTAAAAATATGAATATTCCAACTGAGCCAGCTGCCAGTCAGGCATCTGGGTGGATCCCGGAATTACTGTCAGGATCCCTGCAAAGCGTGAACTGGCTCTGTGGTGTCAGTGGATAGCCGATTTTAGACTGCTGTCCGCTAAATCTGGGTCATAGGAGTGCAGAATGAAATGCAGTCCTGTGACCCACAGGAGAAGTATGGCCAAAAAACTTTTTCCATACTTCTCCTTTAATGTGTGTTAAGAAGAAACCATAGCATAAAAGGTATTTCCTGTTGTATTTAAACAACAATCTATTACATACAGTATTCTATAAAATAACCTTGGGCTTTCTTTAGACACAAACCTCCAACCAAAAATAAGATATATTAATAACCCATTGTTTGAAAATAA